GCGAAGCACTTCCCAAGCCAGGATTTAACTTCCTTCAGGGTTGGGATGTCATTTCCTATGAGTAGTATGGCATCGACATATAATACGAGGAAGCTTACTATACTCCCACTGGCTTTGACATATACACATGATTCATCCTCGCTTCACAGAAAACCAAACTCTTTGACTTTCTCATCGAAACAAAGATTCCATCTGTGAGATGCTTGTTTTAGTAATTTGAGAATTTATGGAAGTGGATCATTGGTGGATGTAGGTTTTGGTGTTTGGAGTTGTGTTTCGGGAGTTTGATACTTCAGTTTCGATCGACATTGTGAGGTGAGTTCTTCTCACTATATCAATAGGGTCTAAGGCACCAAGGCCGACCCTTTATGGTTTGTATCCTGGTTATAGGATTATGTTATGATAGTGATATGTTAGATATGTATCCTGGTTATAGGATTATGCTATGTTAGTGATCTGTTAGATATGTATCCTGGTTATAGGATTATGCTACGTGATCTGTTAGATCAGTATCCTGGTATATATGATGATGCCATGAATAGTGATATGTTAGATCTGTATGACTATCTGTACATGCGAGCTATCGTATGATATTTGTGTGCACATGATTGTTTGATTGGGGGTTGAGTTGAGGCGGACCTACTTTGTGCTTAAGCCAACATACCCAGGGCAGCCCGGATAGACTGCAGACCCGGTAAGGGCGTACTAGTCAGGCCGAAGGCCCGATGAGCGGTCCGGATAGGCTGAAGGTCCTGCGAGGCGGTCCAGACGTGCCGATGGCTCGGAGAGCGGTCCAGATAGGCTGATGGCCCTGTGAGGCGGTCCAGTCAGGCTGATGTCTCAGTATGCATGCTGTTTATTTGCTATGATATGGTTATGATGCATGACATTGGTATTTTGGGGGAAACTCACTAAGCTTCGGGCTTACAGTTGTTGATTTTGTTTCAGGTACTTCAGATGATTGCGGGAAGGAAAATGTGTGATCGTGTACCTCCTTATGTTTTTATGATTTGATTTCTGGGATACTCTGACATGAAACTATTTTGAAATTAATTATTGGTTTTTGAATGTTTTAAATTGGCTTGAATTTTATGGATGTTACACACGTTCAGTCCCTATTTTTAAAAATTAACTCGGACCGTCCCTTGTTTGGTTAAAAGTTGCATGCTTCATCCCTCCGGACATAAAAAGACAATTTTGCCCTTATTTATTTCTTTTTTGATTTATTTTTGATTTATTTCTTATTTATTGATTTGTTTATTATAGAAAATAATTATTTATTATCTTTAATAAAAGAAATATGTTGTAAACCCTAACTCCTTAAGCACTTCGTCTCCATCCCCTATTTCTTCGAACTCCACCCAAACCAATATCGTTGACCCCCTTATGCTTCTCCGACGATCCTATCTCCACCATCACAGGTCTTCAAAAAGTGCAACAATTTTAGCTTTTTACTTCAAGAAAGTTTTCATTTCAACTTCATGAACTTCAAAAACAGTTTCAGATTTGCAAATCTCAACAAGTTCTTGAAGGATTCGAGAAAAGAATGAAATATATGAGATGTGTTCTCTATATCTTTCTGGTGATGGATTCTCCCATTACAAAAGAAGATCGAGAGGATGTGACTTTGCTCCAATGCATCACCGTCGCTTAACGCATGTTCTGATGCATCACCACCATCAGATTTGCAGATACCAAATTCGTCTCACCACCTCCGGTTGTGGTGATGCTCGATCTGAAAGCCCCAAAGTGAAATCCATCATGAAACCCCCAAAATGCTAGATTTAAAACCACACATCTCCTGCTGATCCACTTTCGTAATTACATCTCCCCTCTTTCTCAAAACCCTAACGCACAGGTGGTGATGGTGACCTCTCGTTTGCTCTCCATCTCTCTCTCTCTCTCTCTCTCTCTCTCTCTCTCTCTCTCTCTCTCTCTCTCCCTCTCTCTGTATCGTATCAGCAGAAACACACAAGGGGTGTGCATGTGTGTTTTGTGTTTCTTTACTTTGTTTGTGAAAAAGATTGAGGAAACAGATGGAAATGAATGCTCAAGGGTTTCAGGAGAAAATCAGGTGAGAGGGAGAGAAACCGACAGTAGTGATGTTTTTTCCGATGGTGTTCCACATCTTCGACGGAGGTGGTACTCGTCGGACGTGAACAAATGAAAGGAAATATGGTGGTGGTCAGTGGCGGTAGTCAAGAGGGTTTCCGGTGGTGCTCCATTTTTCCGGTGGTGGTGTTAAAGTTTTCTCAAGCAAAGCAAAAGAGAAATATATATTAAATTTAATTAAAAATTTTAATAATTAAAAATAATCATAAATATAAAAAAATAAATGAAAAATAAATTGAAAAGAGCATTATAGTCATTTCATGTCTCGCAAGGGATGAAACGTGCAAATTTAAACTAATGATGGATGAAACATGCAACTTTTAATCAAACGAGGAACGGTCCGAGTTAATTTTTGAAAATAGAGACTGAACATGCATTTTGGCACCTGCACGAGAGACAATTCGTGTAATTTACTCTTTAGAAAAAAAAAACTAACTGCTTAAAAGTTATAGTTAACACCAGAAGGACCATTCATGCAATTTTCGAAATCATACGGACCAATAATGTTACATTTTTCATAAAAGTCTTCAAAATGCAATATTTTGCAAATCACATGGACCAATTATAAAATTTTGTCAAAATTAAATATCCACCAATCATTTTTATATTTATAAGATTATGATATTTGAATTATCACTTGATCTAATAAGTTAAATGAAAAATAATAATAATAAAAGGGAATTTGATTTATCAAGTAATAAACGTGTAGATGCTTCTAGAAAGTCAAGATAAACGTGTGAAACCACGAACAGCTGCCCATTTGCACCCAACTAGCTGACGTAAGCCCATGCGTAAGCCCGGCCCATTCCCACTGATCTCCCCGTCCCGCAAACTATAAATATCACTTCTTCATAAGTTTGTTAGGATTTTACTGGTAACTTTGCACAGCATCAAACGATCAAAGAAAAACTTCGCCATGGGAAGAAGTATGTCTTTTACCTCTAGTTTCTTCTTTCCTCTCTGTATTTTTTTCAAATTCAGGACATCTATGCTCTATGTTTAATTATCAAGATTCAATTAGTACGTTGGTTGTAATGTTCTGATCTGAGATCCAATCACATGAGTTCAAATCTCGTTTTCGTAGCACATTAAAACTGCTTTTATTCATTTTGTCTGTAATTTAGGGCTTTTATCTTCGAAATGAATACGTTATCCTGCTATTAACACTATTCTACAGAATCATTATTTTATAGCTCGATGATAATTGTTACATATACTTTATCCTCGATTTGCATTTTGCAACATATAAAACTGAAATTATCCTGCAAACTGATGTGGTATTAATCAACACGAAATTCTATCGTGCAGGACCTGCAAGGTGTTACAGACAGATCAAAAACAAGCCATATCCCAAATCACGATACTGCAGAGGTGTCCCTGATCCCAAAATCAGAATCTACGATGTTGGAATGAAGAAGAAAGGAGTCGATGAGTTCCCCTTCTGTGTTCATTTAGTGAGTTGGGAGAAAGAGAATGTCTCAAGTGAAGCACTTGAAGCTGCTCGAATTGCCTGCAACAAATACATGACAAAATTTGCAGGAAAAGATGCTTTCCATTTGAGAGTTAGGGTTCATCCATTCCATGTGTTGCGAATCAACAAGATGTTGTCATGTGCTGGTGCTGATAGGCTTCAAACAGGCATGAGGGGTGCTTTTGGTAAACCACAGGGAGTATGTGCTCGTGTTAGCATTGGTCAAGTTCTTCTTTCTGTTAGATGCAAAGATGGGAATAGTCAGAATGCTCAAGAGGCATTGAGAAGGGCTAAATTCAAGTTTCCTGGTCGACAAAAGATTATTGTTAGCAGGAAATGGTAAGTATAAGAATTTGATTAATTTGTTTAATAATTAAGAAATGTTTTTTTAATGTTAATATTGATTGTTAATTACAGGGGATTTACCAAGTTTAGCAGAACTGATTATGTGCAATGGAAATCTGAGAATCGCATCATGTCTGATGGTGTTAATGCCAAGGTATTTATTTTTGTCCTAACATATGAGAAATGTGTTTATTTTTTGTGTTTGATTACAAATGCTAATCTGTATTTTATTTAATTTTATTTTGATCTCTAAGTCTCGGATTGTATGCTTATTCTTTTTAATAATTATTTTGCAGCTTCTTGGATGCCATGGACCCCTTGCAAATCGTCAACCTGGAAGAGCATTTATAAATGCTGTTGCTTAAAGTGGATTTTGTTCATTTAGAGTATCTTGTTAATTAATAAACTATATTTCAGTCATGTTTAAATGTTTTTATTTTGGAGAACTCAATACTCGTTTGCTTCTTTGTTGTAAACGAGAATGTATTGCATCTAATAATTCTAATTCGAAAGCTTCCTTTGTACAATTTATAATTTACTACTCTATGGATTAATTCAGTAAGCAATTTTCACGAATATTGTTATATTGACCACAACCGCTGTTACTCTATTTTACAGTTACAAATTAGCATTTTTCTACCTCAAATTCGATTCCTTGTTGCTATTTTGACTTCAGTTCCAATTTTCTACCTCAAATTTGATTCCTCTTTCATACAGCGCACACATACAAACACCCCTTTCTTTCCCTCAAAAAGAATAAACAAAAAAAAACCTCCATCAATATCTATCTATATTCTATATGTTTAGTTAGTTAGGGTTGATTGATATGATTTTTACTAGGTCTGATAAAATGTTGGTCTGATCGATCAGATTCAGATTTTTTAATACCACAACTATAAATGCCATATTCCGCCCGCATAAACATATTTGATTCAATAAACTTGACTCAGTCAGCAGCTATAAAACAACCCCTTAGTCATTATATGGAATACACATGTTACTTACTTTTGTTCCACATTTGTTCCCTTAGGCTTTGTTTGGCGTGCCACACTAGCTGATAAACTAGCTTATTTTTTGAGTTTTTTTAAGTTGTCATATACATCATATAAATCCATCGACTTAAGCTACCAAAAAAGGAATTCTAAAGTGTAACATCAATGCTAACTATTTGAGAATATATGCAAATCTTAAAGACAAAAAAAACACTAGCAACAATTATGTCATGAGAGGTGAACAAACAATCAAACTCTAAACAGAAAAATGACATTAGAAAAAGGAAAGATATGTTTTAACAAGGTGATATATGCCTCAAATCACCATTACATATGTCCAATCCACACCACAAAAGAAATATCTTGTTTAAAAGAAACACACATAAACCAATATCTTCATTTACTACAACAAAACATATTATTATTCTTCCTCTCTCTTCAACCAGCCAAATTGAGTTTGATTTTAATATCTGTGGTGCAACTTCTCTCTTTCCTGGTAACTCTGCACATACCTGCATGAACGAATAAATAAAATTATTGATTATTACACTATATAGAATGAGGATGAGAAGGGCATTCACGTCTTTTCCACATTTACCTTGTTCCAACTTTTGGATGAGACAAAATATTATGCTATATATTTACAGGTATATGGATCATTTCAATGTATGGTAAGTATAGAAAATAGAACTTGATTAATCAAAGGGTTAAAGAGAAACATTTCAAATGGCCATAACTATAGCATTAACTAAGCATAAATATCCTTTAAACAAAATAATGAAACAATGCTCTTAAAATATTGCCAAATCAATATGGTAGTTTGTTTTTGACAAAATTTATATCAAAACATTGCTAAAAATGAGAAGAGTTTTTTTGTTATAATCAGAATCAGAATCAAAATCGGTATTATGTATAAAAGGTTATGAGAGATACAGAGACTTATAAAATGATATAGGAAAACATTCTAACTAGCAAACACCTAAACAAACCATTTGTCTACTTACAACCCAATTTCCTAAAAGGCAATATGTGGTCATCAATGAAATCTAGAGTAAAAATAAAGGCATTTCACAAAAAGAGCAAGAACTCTTCACATATAACAGTTAACCCATTATTATCTTTGTCATTACACAAGTTCAGAAATTGATCTCTCAGGCAAACAAACCAAGCACAAATGCACAATTTTCCAAATTCAAGTCCTTTGGGTTCCTTCTCTTACAGAAAAACTTTGCAGATATATATCATATATATATGCTCATCATTTGAATCAATTTCTAGTCGAGAGAGTAGAAAAAAAAAAGAGAGCATTACACCTATACGGATCCATAACTATGTTGACCTAGTCAACTCATCACAATCATATACAATTTTAGAGACAATAGATCAAATCATAAGCATAAAGCAACGGATGGGCACAACTATGCTTAGATATGGATCTGTATATAATCAGATAATTGAAGCGTTGCAAAACATGAAAACTAAAACCGATTAGATATAGCCAACATCATTTAGATATATAAAGTAGGGTTATGAATTACGCGTAGACGCCGACAACCGGGCCGACGAGAAGAACGGCACTATGCCAGTTCTCGGTGACCTTGTGAGTAATCTTATGCGTGAAATCCTTCCAGAGACCAGGCATCACTTTTTGCTGGAACGGAGACAGGGCGTACGTCACAGCCTTTACCTTCACCGGAATCTTTCCCATCGTCGATTGCTCCGATCTTATCAAATAGTTCTCAGAATCTCTTTCAATCTAATTGAGCTTCCGATTGAAAATGACAAAGAGGTAAGAGAGCCCTAGGATTTAGTGCTGGAACGTTCTTCTTTCTGGGCCATTATCGTTTATAGCCTTTCCGTGAAAATAAGGTTATGAGCCCAAGTTTTAGTTCGAATAGATGTATATTGACAAAATTGCAAAAATAGTCCCTGTGGTTGTCAAATTTCTGCGGTTTTGGTCCAAAAAAGTTTAGTGGTGCATCAGTAGTCCAATTTCGGATATTTTGTGTGGTTTTGGTCCCTATGGTTGGCATTTATATGTAGTTTTGGTCCATACTCCACCTGAAATGACAAATCTGCCCTTAAATAATTTTCTTTTTAATTTAATTTAATTTCTTTTCTAATTATTCTAATTAAAAAAAGAAAAAAACCCCAAACCACCCCTCTTATCCCTTCTCTCTCTCTCTCTCTCTCTCTCTCTCTCTCTCTCTCTCTCTCTCGACCCCTGCTTTCCCCGAAGCCACAACTCTGGTGAGATGAGCTAACAGTCGAGGAAGAGACCCCATCGGAAAAACCGGTTGTCAACCTCTCCACCTCCCCTCGGTTGCTGAGCAAACCCACGAACCCCCACTTGTTGTGCTGTTTCCGATCTGCTCTTTCCCTCCCTTTCTTCTCCGTTTTTCTACCAACCTCTCCACCTCCCCTCCATGGCTTCTTGTGTGATGTTGCAGAGCGTCGATAGTTA